ACCTGTGAACCGGAAGGCACGTGACCTCCCCTCTACACTCATACTCCGTGCGCAGTGGTAGAGCAGGGGTAGAAACCACAATTAAGGAGAAAGAAATGCACACAGCAGCCCCCGGCTGGAATTCCAGAGTGGGCAACGGGAGGGCTCCCTACCCTGCCAGAGAAGGTTCCCCCATGGGACCCTGATTCTGCCTTTTCAAGAGGACTCTCCTCATTCAGGGCTCTCTGTGTCCCTCAGCCCTGCCCTTGGACGGGCGTTGCCCTATCCTCTTTAGCGGAACCTGAAGCGGGTGGTGGGATCTGCCCCCCTCGGTGGCCGCCCAGCTTTCGCAGCGCGCGGCCTGCCGGTGCAAATCTGGAGGTCTGAGAGCACCGCCGTCACGAGGTTTCAGTGGCTGCAGTACCTTCACGAAAGCCACAATTCCCTCGGAAACTCCCCTGGCTCCTGGTCGGCTAATTTCCAGGCAGTTCACATACCAGCAATCTCTCCCCAAGTTCGTTCCAGGTCGTGGCTCTCAAGCCTGCTCTATCTCTCTGCTTCCACGCTTGCCTCTCTCAACCCAACGGCAGCCATAGCGGGGCCTCAGAAACAGACGACTTTGGAAGGAGGGGAACACGCTTTTCTCTGATCTCTCATCTCCTGCTGTATGAGGTGTAGCGGCCACGGGCCTTTCCAACCCTTCAGGGCCCCAAATTTCTAAACTCTTCCCCGTCTTTTGCGTGTCTCTTTGTAGTGCCGTCTATCGCGCCCTAGGCTTGTCTCTTTCCTATCATTCATACTAAGAACAAGAACAGCTAATTTGCACTAATACGCAGGCTCTTTCCAGTAGTTTCTCATAAAGTTAGAAGTGCAGTCGGAATGTGATCTGCTTTCCAAGTCAGACGTATCAGGGGACAGTTTTATTTTCTTTCTTTTCTTTAAAGAATCAAGAAACTTTGTTGACGCAGACCAGATTTTTAAAGACATTTTCCCTGTGTCTATTTAACCATGGTGAAATATCATAACACTGAAGTTACCATTTTAACCAATGTAATTATGTGATTCAGTGGCACTAAGTACATTCCCACTGTTGTGCAACCCTCACCACCGTCCATCTCCAGAACTCTGTTCCCATTAAACATGAACTCCCCATTCCCCCTTTCTCCTCAGTCCCTGGCAAGCCATTCTACTTCCTGTCTCTGTGAATCTGACCACCCTAGAACTACCCTTAAACTGTAATCATACACATACGTCCTGCCATCACTGGCTTGTTTCATTTACTGTGATGTCCTCAAGGGTCATACATGTTGTAGCCCGGGTCAGAATTTCCATCTTCTTTAAGGCTGAGTAATATTCCGTTAGATGTACATATCCCACGTTTTGTTTATCCCTTTCCCCATCGATGGGCATTTAGGCTGCTTCCTTCTTTTGGCTCTTGTGAAAAATGCTGCTGGGAACACAGATATGCAAATATCTCCTCAAGTCTCTGCCTTCGGTCAAACGGAAGTCCTGGATCGTATGTTAATACCTGGTTTAATGTTTTCAGGACCCTTCACGCTGTTTCTCACAGCAGCTGCACTGTTTTCTCTTCCCAGCAGTGGTCACAAGGGTTCCAATTTCTCTATGTCTCTGCCAACACTTGCTATTTTCCAGGATTTGGGGGGGGGGGGGTTGATAATAGACATCCCGATGGGTGTCTTTTTCTTTTCCTTTTTTTAAGATTTTATTTTTAAGTAATCTCTCTACCCATCATGGGCCTTGAACCCACAACGCTGTGATCAAGAGTCACATGCTCCACTGACAGAGCCAGCCAGGCGCCCCTTCCCAAACTTTGTCATCACCCCATTGGTGAAGTGTTTGTCAATTTTAGACATTATGATGATTGATCCCTAAATGCTTCGGTATGTGTCTCTAGGAAATAGAGACCTTTTCCTATATGATACAATGCTATTACCATAGGATGCTATACTGTTATCATATGAACACTCCCATTCCACTGGAGAAAAGTTACAAATAGGGTCATGCTTACTTGAAAGGGAGGCTGCTAATGAGGCTGTAGTTGGGCACCACTTGCCCGGTTTTAATGGAAGAAGGAAGAATGGATTCTGGTGTTTTACCAAGCTACAGCAACAGTGCAATAAAGGCTTCCCTGATTCACATCACAAAAATTTGGGTGGCTGGTTTGCCGGGAGTTTGGTGCAGTGTCTCAGTGACGTTATCAAGGAGTCTGTTCTTTCCGTCTTCTGCTCTGCCGCCCTCGGTCTGTTGTCTTTGGATCCTCCTGTTTGTTGTCTCATGATTCCATGACAACCAACATGGCACTAGGTATCAAGTTTTCACAACAGCATCCCAAGTGGGAAAGGAGAAGAGTGGAAGAAGCTTCCCATTACGAGGGATGCAAGCCCTTCTCATTTGCTCTTCAGCAAGTAGACCTCCCCTTGACTCTCACTGGCCATGTTCAAGGGGTCTGGAAAGATACTCATTGCTGGAACAGGATAGCTATGATTGGCTTAGACCAGTAATGACTTAGACCAGTTAGGGCTGGAGCCATTGCAGTCCTAAATAAAGCTAGATACTGTCAGCTAAGAAAAAGAAGGGAAATGACTGGTAGGTTGGCAATAAATCTGCCACATGAGAAACATTTTAAAATATTGTTAAAGATATAAATGGATATAAAGATATAAATGACGCCTGGTTGGCTCAGTTGTTAACCATCTGCCTTCAGCTTGGGTCATGATCCCAGGGTTCTGGGATCAAGCCCCGCCATCAGGCTCCCTGCTCGGTGGGAAGCCTGCTTCTCCCTCTCCCACTCCCCCTGCTTGTGTTCCCTTTCAAGCTATCTATCAATTTAAAAAAATCATCTTTTGGGGGAAAAAAGATATAAATGGACTCTGGGGAGGATCTTGGCTTAGAAATTCTAAGAAGATATCAAATTGAAAACCTGGTAGGAGGGGCCTCTTTCTGGGATTATTCCATGAATGGTGTGGGGACAGTGTCTACCATCTCTTTCTGAGAGAAAGAGTTCGTTGGGCCACTTGCATGAGAGGATCCCTACAGTGATCTGTCAATGGAATGATGGTAACTGCTTCTAGAAATTGAGAGAGCACTAGGGATAAACCAGTCACCATGGTTCTACTTAGAAATCATCATGTTCTTTTGGAGATGGTAATATTTTATGGAAATCTTTTACTAATTAATATATCTTTTGCCAGTGCTCATAAAAATTATTTGGTGGCAAAATTGACCTCATTGATTGAACAAAATTGCTCACATCCAATTAAAGAAAGTCATATAGGGCACCTGGGTAGCTCAGTGGGTTAAGCCTCTGCCTTCTGCTCAGGTCATGATCTCAGGGTCCTGGGATTGAGCCCCACATCGGGCTCTCTGCTCAGTGGGGAGCCTGCTTTGCCCTCTCTCTCTGCCTGCCTCTCTACCTACTTGTGATCTCTCTCTCTGTGTCAAATAAATAAAGTTTTAAAAAAAGTATATTTTAGGATGACACCAGGTCACTCAAATTATGCTTTCCCGAACTTAGGATTCAGTGAAAGCAAAATTTTTACTGTCAGCATAATGAGCTGGTTGTACTGCAGTTTTATATCTGAGAGCCTGTAAACATTTTAGCAAAACAAAACAAGTAGTCCTTGTTATTACCCCTTATTATTGTAAATGAATTACAAAATAACACAAGCCTTCCACACTGGCCCATGACACGAACCAGAAAATAGCTTAAGATTCCCAGAACATTAAAAAAAAAAAATCAAGGAGCTCACAGACACTGTGACAATCCCAGTTTTTAGTGGGTGACTTGCTAATCTTTCCTGTTCCATTCCAGCTGGCCCTGAGAGCAGGAAAAAAATTGCTTTGGCAGGGAGCTCATTCCTGAGAAATTATAAAATAAAAAAAACAGATAACTGACGACTCCAAACATCACTTGCAGTGGAATATAGTTAACACTGAAAAGCCATCAAATGCTAGTGCTTCCAGTGTATTTCCAGCCATCATAAAAACCCTCTGAGTAGGTACCATTATTATTCCCACTTGACTGATGAAGAAACTGAGGCACAGAGAGAGCTCAACAGCAAGCTCACACAACCAGTAGTGGCAGAGCTGAAATTCAAAGTCATGGTCGTCTGGCTCCAGAGTCCTTGAGCTGGAGCTGCCTCCTCACCGTGACCCTAGGTTGTGAGAAATTCTTCTAATTCATAACAGGCACATCCTTTCCAGCCCCCAAAGTATTATCTTAACTTTGAGGACATTTTACTGTAAGCAGTTTCTCACCAGTAAAGTTGTAAAATCTGTAAACGATGATGACACAGTGGGCTTTATTTTTCCGTTTGTAGGTTGGCGGAGCTTTACCATTGCTGCTAGAATAGGTGTGTCTTCAGGGATCATCACTGGGAACAGTATGCTATATTCTTGACTTCCCAAGCTTCATGAGGTTATACTGCAAGAACCATCTGTTTGGAAATTTGATGATTAATTATATGACCTCAATTTTATCAAGACCCCTTTTTCGAGTCCATTAAAGTAGTTGGAGTCCTAGGTGCTGGGGTAAAGTGTGCTTAAACTAACACTTTGTTGGGGCACCTGGGTGGCTCAGATGGTTAGCATCTGCCTTGGGCTCAGGTCATGGTTCCAGGGTCCTGGAATCGAGTCCCACATCAGGCTCCTTGCTCAGCAGGGAGCCTGCTTCTCCTTCTGCCTGCCATACCCCTGCTTGTGTTCTCTCTCTCTCTCTCTCTGACAAATACATAAAATCTTTTTTTATTAAAGATTTTATTTATTTATTTGACAGACAGAGATCACAAGTAGGCAGAGGCAGACAGAGAGAGAGGGGGAAGCAGGGTCCCCACTGAGCAGAGAGCCCGATGCGGGGCTCGATCCCAGGACCCTGAGACCATGACCTGAGCCGAAGGCAGAGGCTTAACCCATTGAGCCATCCAGGCGCCTCATAAATAAAATCTTTAAAAAAAATTAACACTCTGTTTGCTTCCATGAGATTGTAAGTTTTAAAATGGCCAGGTCTTCTCTTGATGCTTAACAGCTAGAAGACTTACAGAAGAGCATAAGTGTCACCAGCAGGAGCCACCACAAATGTTTGCTACAGGTCAGGTTCTCTCTGAGGAAGAATGAAGCTTCAGGAGAGCAGGGGCCAGATCAGCATTTTCAGCCTTTGACTCTGTGCCAACAAGTCTCCACGACGCAGTCTCACTTGTGCCACAGACGGGGTGAAAGAAAGTAAAGGTAACTCAAACTTTGGGAATATTTATTGCAAGAAAAGGACACAAAATAGACATGTACAGAGAGTACAGAGAGCTCGTATTGGCTCTCTAGGAGGATTTGACCATCTGGATAACAGCTTTGCAACTCATTTGGGTAAATGATACCATTTGGAGGAGAGCCTTCCAAACCAAATCTAAATGCCAGAACCCCTTCAAGAAGGTTTGTGCAATTTGGGCTCTTTACCTCAGACAGTTTCCTCAGCCAGAAACGCTTTGGGTGCCATTGTTTCAGATTTAATTTACCATTTGGGACACGGGAACAATCCTAAGTTTCTTTAAGGTATAATTGGAAGATTAGTATCAACGGAATAAATATTACACAGAATTAAAAAAAGAATAATTCAGAATGCAAAGATAAAAGTATCTTAGGAGTGTGGAGTACTCCTTCCCCACTCCCCTTCTTTTCCTTAAAAAGGCAAGGAAAAATGTGCTGTCTTAGCTGGTAGGTACCATGTTGCTATAGCTCCAGGAAGAGTAGAATGTGTCCTTGCTAGGAAATATAAAGTTTGGGTGATACTTTCTAACGTGACTGGAAGTGATGGACCCGTTTATTTTAATGGTGTCTGGTCTGGGAAGATAGAAGAAAGAGAACCATCTCCGTTTCAACTCTTCATTCTCAGATAACACTGGGAAGCGAAGAGAGTTAATTCAATACATCTATTCATTTATTCTTTGCAGAGGTACTTCCAGTCAGATATCTAAACTTACCAAGCCAGAACAGCTCAGAGAGGATTATGAAACCTCACCAAATCAATGTTACTTCCTGCTGCCTCCGGACTCCTCCTCCAGCAGGGAGAGCAGAGAATGCGTCGGTGTTGTTTCTCCACTGCAGGTTTCTCTGGTCACATAATAAGCTGCGTATGGGCTAAAGGACAAATAGGTTATTTTGGATGAAAAGAGAAAAGTATACATAACAGAGTCCTCTGCTGCAGTTAATACAGTCCCACCAGGGAGAGAGAAGGAAGTAACAGGACAAAGAAATGTCAGATGGGGCATTGATAGGTTAGCAACACCAGAAACAGTACCAAATAACTTAAAGATGGATAGGGATGTGACACAGGGAAGGGAGACCTGCCCATCTTCACGCGCGCGCACACACACACTTCACTGTTCTGTTCTTAAGTTCATGCTTGTCCGTTGCCAAAAGAACGCGGCCTGGTAGGGCGTGTACTATGACCAAAGTATATGTTCTTCATTACAGGATCTTCCTTTACTACAGCAGAAAACTGACCTGGAGCATCACATATTTCCTGATCCATGTCAAAGTGATTCACAAACTGTTTAGGGTCTAGCCCACTTCAGTAAGACAATAGAGATCTATAGTTTAAAAAGACATAAGCATGGGGTGCCTGTGTGGTTCAGATGGGTAAGCGTTGGACTCTTGATTTCAGCTCAGGTCATGACCTCAGGGTCATGAGATCAGGCCTCGCATCTGCTTAAGAGTCTCTCTCTCCCTCTCCTCCTGCGCCTCTCCCCTCTCCCCAGCTCGCACTCTCAAGTAAATAGATGGATAGATACATACATACATACTTACATATATACATACACATAACCAGGGGTGCCTGGCTGGCTCAGTTAGTAGAGCATTAGTTAGTAGTGACTATTGATCTTGGGGTCAGGAGTTCAAGCCCCACATTGGGCATAGAGCTTACTTAAAAAAAAAAAAAAAGACATAAGCAGATCACAGATTTAAACGTAAAATTATAGATCTTTTAGGAAAAAATAGAAAATCTTTGAAATCAAGGGGTAGGCAAATAATACTTGTCTTAGACTTAGACTTGACATCAAAAGCACAATTCATAAGAGAAAATCTTGGTAAGTTGGATCTTAAACAAAATTAAACTTTAGTGGGGAGGCACCTGGCTGGCATAGTCAGTAGAGCATGAGACTTGATCTCCCAGTTGTGAGTTCAAGACCTATACTGGGCATAGAGCTTATTTGGAAAAAAAAATTTAAACTTTCCTCTGCAAAAGACTGTGTTAAGTGCCAAGACTATTTAGTGGGGGAAAAGATAGTCTTTTAAACATTGTTCTGGATATGCAAATGAATTACATTACCTTGCACCATATGCAAAAATTAACCAAAAATGGATCAAAGACCTAAAAAGGAAGAGCTAAGGCTATAAAGCACCTTGAATAAAACAGGGGGGTAGCCTCATTATGTTGGATTTGACAATGATTTCTTGGATAGAATATCAAAAGCACAGACAACAAATGAAAAAATACAGTGGACTTCATCAAACTTAAAAACTTTGGTGCATCGAAGGACACTGTCAGCAGAGTGAAAAGGCAACTGACATCATGGGAGAAAAATGTGTAAATCATATACTTGACAAGGGATTAATATCCAAGGATTAACTAATATATTTATTAATATATAAAGAACTCCTACCACTCAACAGTAGAAAAACTGAAAAACCCAATTTAAAAATATGCAAAAGACATGAGTAGACATTTCACCAAAGATATGTACATGGCCAATAAGCACATGAAAAGACACTCAGCCTCACTGATTATTAGGGAAATACAAATCAAATGGCTACTAGTAAACAAACAGAAAATAACAAATATTGGTAAAAATGTGGAGAAATTAGAGCCTTTGTATACTGCTAGTAGGAATGTAAAATGATACAACTACTCTGGAAAAAGTTTGATGGATTCTTTAAAACTAAACATGCAGACGTTCCTGGGTGGCTCAGTGGGTTAAGCGTCTGCCTTCAGCTCAGGTCATGATCCCAGGGTCCTGGGATTGAGCCCCACTCAGCAGGGAGTCTGCTTCTCCCTCTCCCTCTGCCCCTCCTCCCTATGCTCTCTGGTGCATGTGCACACTTTTTTCTCTCAAATAAATAAATAAGATCTTAAAAAAAAAAAAAAACCTAAACATGCAATTATTACAACCCAGTACTTGGCAGTTGTGGGCATTTAATCCAGAGAAATAAAAACTTACATTGACACCAACTCCCATATGCTAATTTTCTATAGTTTCTTTATTTGCAATAACCAAAAACTTGAAACAACCCAGATGTCCTGTAATAGATGAATGAATTTGTAGACGCTTACCACAGAATGCCACCCGACAATAAAAGGTGCCAAACTGTTGAGAAACACAAATCTTAGATGAATCTCCAGGGAATTATGTTGGGTGGAAAAAAGTCAATCCTGAAGGTTGCATACTATACGATTCCATTTGTATAACATTTTGAAATGGTAAAATTTATAGAACTGGAGACAGGATTCATGGTTGCCAGGGACTTAGAAAGGAGCGTGTGCAGGAGGAATGTGGGTGTGGTTATAAAAGAGCAAAAAAAGGAATTCTTGAGGTCATGTAACTCCTGTCATATTGGTTTCCCTTTTAGGAACAACTCTATGTTCTTTATCGGACTGTTGTGGTGATCATACAAATCTACACAGGTGACAAAACTGCGTAAAACTAAATGCACACACCTAGCAAGGAATACATATAAAACTGGTGAAATCTGGACGAAGTCAAGGACTGAACCAGTGTCAGTATCTTGGTTGTTGATTGTACTATGTTTGGACAGGATGTTACCATTGGGGAGATAGAAGAATACAGAGGATCTCTGTGTATTACTTCTTAAAACAGTGTGCGAATTTGCCATCATCACCACCCCTGCGAGAATGGTGTAGCCGATATAAAATTCTGAAGAAGCTCCACAGCAGTTCCATTGGAAACTAAAAATACAACTATCCACAGACTTACTCTTTTTATCTCCCAAGGCATCCCTTTAAGGAACTGGCAATTTCTTATATCATTAGGCAAGCAATACAGTATGGTTTTCCCAGAATTTGCCCTATGAGAATTAAATTAGTAGGGGCGCCTGGGTGGCTCACTCGGTTAAGCACCTGCCTTGGGCTCAGGTCATAATCCCAGGGTCCTGGGTTCCAGCCCCACATAGGGCTCCCTGCTCAGCAGAGAGCCTGCTTCTTCCTCTCTGTCTGCCTGTCTTTCCCTCCGCTTGTGCTCTCTTCTCTCCCTCCAATAAATAAAAATCTTTAAAAATAAAAAAAAAGAAACAGTTAAAATAATTTAGGACAATAGCCATTAACCATCTGAGAACCTTTGACAATAAGATAAGAAGAGCAATGCATACTGAAAGATATCAAAGGATATCAGGAAGGATGTCTGCATTCCTTGAGAAAAGCAGGAGCCAGGAGAGGAAGATAGTATGAAGCTGTCCTGAGCCCTGCCTAGGAGGGAAAGTACCTCGGCCTAACACAGGCACTGATCTGCTTGGCACGGCTGCCATTTCTGGAGCATATATTATGTGTGAAGTGCTTTACCTGCATCGTCATTAATCCTCAACACAACCCTACCAAATATGAAATTATCAGCATACTTACTAAGGCTTAAGAGATGAAATCCCAAGCCCGAGATCACACAAGTAGTGAGTGACAGAGGTGGATTTCCGGCCAATGCACCACCACACCATTTCCATCCACCATACTGCTTCTCTTTAGAGGAAGTGAGCACATAAAACTACTACAGCTTGATGCCATGGCCTTAGAGTTATCTCAACTCTCTTCGTTCTACTTTCCTGCTTCCTCATTTTGATTGCCCAGAGAGAGTTTCTGAAATGGGAACCAGTGTGAGTATCTGTCCATTTGGCAGTTGTATTTCCCCTGTGCGTGAATGCATTGGCACTGATTTATTCACTGGACTACTGTAAAAATGGTCAAGAGGCATGGGTTCCCTGCAGCCTGGTGATTTTCCATGCACCGGAGCATTCTGTTACTGCAGACGTAGAAGACACCGTGCTTGGGTTAACCTACCGGGTACTGCCTCCCTTGTGAGGCCAGTCTTCGATGTCCTCCCTCTTTTAAAATCCAGTCTTTATGAAGCAAGATGGGGAAATGGTGTTAGTTATGTAACTGGCCCAGACCCAGAGAGTTGATTACTGGCAACGTTAAGGTTGAGAACTAGGCCTCTGGACTCTTATCCAGTGTAACCATTTCATCTGTGCTCACCCTGTCAGAGCAACCGATTGCAGGGGCAGATGTGGGAAAACTGGTTTACGTGCTCAGTCCGCATTCCCATTTTCTGTACTCATGCTACATCTTTGGCTAATGATGAAATTATTTTTGTTAACAAAACTGATAGCTTTATTATAAGCCCACAGCTTTCTGGACGGAAATAAATGAAGAGGCACTGACTAGCCATAGTGGGTGTGCTTCAAATGTTCATCATCCTCCCACATTACATAAACTGGGTAGCCAGGCCTGCTGGTTCCTACAACAGCTTCTCCGTAGTGAATAGACTATTACATAGAAGCCGTTGTATTCGTGAGATGTCCCCTCAGTTATTCCCACCTCCTGGTATGGTATGTGGCACAAGCAGGACGTCCGTCCTTGTGGACTGGATTAGAGTAGACTGGATTAAACGGATTCAAAGTGGTTCTAACATATTTCAACTCTCAGCTTCCGTCATTTATTTAACACCCATCCCACCCAGACAGTTGTTGAGAACACACCATGACTGATCACAGACACATTAGGTCCGGGTGTGTGTCCCCTCACCCAAAAGATCTACTTTATCAGGTAGGTCACTTCTGGTAACCGAGACCTTCCTGACACTGAGTCACCACCTTCCAGGGAGGGTCATGTTAGTTCTCTGATCCCAGGACTTGGGAGGTCCAGGGAGTGTCAGTGTGCAAAGGCAGATAGGGAGGTGCTCAGATACATGGCAGTGCTGGTTCAAACTCGTAAGCAGCTGGTGGTTCATTGGAAAACTCAAAATAATGAGCAGTGATAGCTCCTTAGAGATACCTACTAATTACATTACTCTTCTGTTTGGCAGGTCACCTGTGGAGGGCAATTTCTCATAGACACTCCTGCGGCTTCTCTTTTTCACTTCCATCTTGTGGGGAATCTTTTTATTTATTTTTGCTTTCAAATATAACATCCAAAATGCCTGACATCTGTTCTTGTTCCCCCTTGTGTTCATTGGAGTTAGTTTAAAAGTATTCACAACACATTGTTTTCCAGAACATTCATCTTTAAAGTCTTCGGAGATAGCTGCTCAATAACATGTCAAGAGAAAAGTTCAGATTTGCAAAGCATTTGTCATTTCTTCCTGCACTGCTAATGTACTTAGTAAGCATTTGTTTCTAGCATTCTTGTCTGCCAAGCTGTAGACATATGTACATGCCAGATCCATAGGGCCATAAATCCATAACTGTTAATAATCGCACGAAAAGTAGGTTGGAATAAGCCTTTGTTTCCTAGCCTTCTGTAAGTCCTAACCTAAACCCTTTGTCCTTGCTTAAAAATACTGATGCTCCTATCAGGATAACTGTGTTTGTGAGAAGTTTCCCATTTAGTTCTCAAATCAGGCTCTGGAATATTTAAGCTAATGCTAGATAACAGTCATCCTTGTTAACTGCTCAAGGGATTTCCACGAGCATAAGTGGCAGTAATAGATTTGGATCATGGTTTCATAAAATACACTTCTTTTAACTTCCTTCCCGCCCTGAAAGGGTAAGGTAAATTTCTGCCTTAGTTATTAATGTCTGTTCATTTTATTTCAGTGGTACAGGCATGGATGGGAAGAAATGCAGTGTATGGATGTTTTTACCTCTTGTATTTACTTTGTTTACTTCAGCTGGATTATGGATAGTGTGAGTATTCTCTTAATTATTTAAGGACTTGGGTGCAGTGTAGATCAAAATGTAGTTTTGATAGTGTAGGGCATAGCTATCTGTCTTTATAAATACTTTAATGTTTACTAATTCGACCTTGCTAAAGTCCCCATTTGCCTTCCCTTCTTCTATTACCCAAAGTAAATAGCAAGAGCGAGTAATAAATTACGCCAAGCAGATAGTGAAGAATACTGATTTTCTTTTGTGTTCCCATGTTCTTTCAATAATGAACGTTCTATAAACTGGTGATAGGGATTCATTATTTGCAAGATTTGCTCATTATTCCCACTTGCTAAAGATTCCATTCACAGTTCATTGCATTGTTCAGTGTGACTGGGGTTGGTATGTTTGTAAAATGGGTATCGTTACATTTTAAGTCTCGGCTTATCACTAAAGGATGCCCACACTTGCTTATTTCAAAGCCAGTTCCCTTCCAGCAAATTATTTTAGCTCCCTGAAGTCCATTGAGAGAGGTGGACACACTCCTGAGAAACTAGACAATTTGAATTCTAATTTTAGTTTGCTCAAAGTTATCAGGTCTTATTTCTTTGTTTTCCAGTTTCCAGATTATAATGATTACCATCAATTTGGCAGGGTGTCTTGAAAACTCAAGAAATAGAATTAATAATCACATTTGAACTTTAAGGAGCTGAGTGATTTATAGGTAAACATGATAATAATGCATAGAAATAATGCATATGATTTAATGTGGCTAGTCTAGTAAAACTGGGAAACAAATGAGTCTTTAAAATTTTGTTTTATAAACTTTCCTTGTTCTTTCTTCACAGATACTTTATAGCTGTGGAAGATGACAAAATTTTCCCATTAAATTCAGCTGAAAGGTAAAATCAGTCTCTGGGTAATTCATTGTTATCAATGGATGTAACAAAACTTCTGCCACTGGTGATTAAACTGTGCACAAATGACTATACTTTAATCCGTGTTTCTGGTTTTCCAGGAAACCGGGTGTGAAGCACGCACCTTATATAAGGTAACTCAATAGCCCTTCTAATCTGTTGGATGCTAGGAGAAGTTGGGAGAGTAATTTAGTTTGGGCTACTGGGTGGCTTACAAACAAAAATTTGTTTAAAAATTTGTTTAATTTTATTTAAATAAAATTTAAAATAAATTTTAATAAATTTAAATAAAATAATTTATATACAGCTTGGGTGGCTGGAGGTCAAAGATTAGGGTGCCAACAGTCAGGTCTTAATGACAGCCCTCTTCTGGGTTGTAGATGGCCATCCTCCCACTGTGTCCGCCCATGGCAGAAAGGGGACAAGATAGCTCTCTGGGATCTTTTTTATAAGGGCACTAATCCCACTCAGAAGGGTTCTACTCTCATGACCTGAGTATCTCCCAAAGCCCCTACCTCCTCATCGCATCTCATTGAGGGTTGGGATCTTGACGTATGAATTCTGAAGGGACACAGGCATTCAGCCTGTTGTGGGTGACAGGTTTTCATATGGTGATAATGAAACACGACATCATTTTCAAGTATTGCAGGTGACGAGCCCCCAGCAAGCTGCGTGTTTAGTCAAGTCATGAACATGGCAGCCTTCCTAGGTAAGCGGGCTGAAAGAGGGCTTCATGTGCTTCGGTAGCTTTCTTTTTTATTTTAAATCCTTCCAAACATCAAAAGCATGGTGGGCTTAGCAGTTAATTTGGTGTTGTATCATGTCAGTTATGCTAATGCTGGCTTTTTGTTTCGAGGGTCTTTTTCTCATACTTTCGTGTTCACCCTGCTTACCTTACATCTTCTCTTCCCCTTATCATCTTTATCATTTCAGTGTATCCTTGACATTATGTTTTTTGCCACATGAAATACTATGAGATTGTCATAAAATTCCCGCATGAGAATGTAGTGTCGTGCAATACATTTGCATTAAAAAGAATGTATTTCTTCACTGGCAAGGATGACAAATGCATAGGCTTTGTGATAAATATTGACGTGGAGACACTGTCTTTAAATCCCCAGGCCAACATGAACATGGGTGACGCGGTCTCCTGTACATATATACACATACCAAGATGGTAAACGGAGATGTAGGTTAAAAAAAAAAAGAAGAAATCTTTGGTACTCAGGTCTGGTCCCCGTTCCCTACTTTCCCTTCAGGGCCCAAGACCATCATTTCATATCATGTCCCCTTTGTTCTGTGAGTGTTTCCTTCCGAGGATCAAAGGAACCAGCCATCATCTCTGTCCCTTTCCACTTCCCCCTCGTATACCATCTCCCCAAGACCAGTCTCCTCAGAGGGTCAGCTAATATCATCATTGGCATGTTGTAGGGGATGGGCCAGTGACAACTAAATTTTTCAACAACAGTTTTCTGGAAATAGTTCTTTTGGATGGTGAGAATTTCAGCCTTGGTAGCACCTGTCCCCCAAAGAGATGACCTGTTATTCTAAGTAGAACGCCATCCCAAAAAATCCTACTCATTAAGATATTTTTTAATGTTTGCTGTCGGAAAAGGAAAGACCTATAGAAATTACTGGAAAATCAAGGGAAATGGTTGGTCCAATAGGCAACACGGGCACAATCTTAGTTTAGAAGGCTCAAAACATGAGAAACATGGAGAACGTTCTGCAGGAGGCCCAAAATGCCCCTCTTGAACCTGTGTTCAATGAGAAGCACACTGGGGGACTTGGCTACAGTTACTTAAGTTCCTCTCTGGAGCTAACTCTGTGTGGGTCAAAACCTTTCACCACCCAGGTGTCCCCAGAACATAGCCCATTTGCCTGAGCAGGAAGTCTTCTGGAAGGCATGGACTGCCAGGCCACTACTAAGGAGGAGGTCAGCAACCCTCGTGCCGAAGTTGCTGAGTCTGGAAGAAGCTCTCCTTGTCATGCCCTTGGTAGGCAGGATTTTCATGTCCTGGCTATTCCCCAGTTCTGGAAAAGGCGGTAGTTGCTGCAGCTAACACATACTTGGGCACCGGTTCCAGTCCCAGCCAGTCAGGTTTTGTCTTCCCTGCCGTCAGCCTCAGCTACCACGAGGTTTAATTCTCACTTTTTTCCCCTACTCTTGACACCAAGGCCTAACTGACTGCTAAAGAGCCATTTGCATTTAAGAGAACGCAAAGGCCAGAGAGAGAGAGAGATTTCTTGAATCCCAGGGTCAGGGACCTTTCCCAGTTTGCCTGCAGTTATACCACGTAGGCCTGAAGGTTGGAACCTACTCATCATATGATCTTCCCCACGGGGCGCAGTAATAACAATAATTAATAGCAGTCATCCATATTCCAGGCACAATGCTAAGTGCTTTGCAAATACCACCTCATCTACTCACAAGGCACAGGAGACTGTCCTTATTAAAAAGCTGTCACAAGCTGTTTGTCCTCCATTTGGGCTTTAAAGACACCAATGAACATGCTGGAAGCCACATATTGCTTCCTTCACGTTCTGAAAACAATATGGTATTTCCCCATAGTCTTTAGTGTGTACTCTTCAAAATGCCAATTTGCACAGCTCACAAATGTATCCAGTTATAAAGCTTATGATTAACTAATTAGAAAAGCATTTCCAAAAACAAAGTAATGAAAACCACCTCCCCTCTTCCAGATGACATTCGTCATCATCTGACCCGCTGGTCCTCCCATTCCAGCAAAAGACACTTAAGCCTTTACTAGCTCTCGCTCTGAGGTATTCTTTATTATCTTCTGTCATTTTCGGTGCCATCTGGTAGACACAAGACTGATGAAGATTAGTGTACAGTGGGAGGAAACTAACAATTATTTATCAACCCTGGGAGTGAAAAAGAATCCATTTACTAATGATTCCTGCTCAAAGTGGAGGAGGCTTCGTCTTCCCAGGCAAGTCCCTGCTAGACCTCAGACTGTTGCTGTAGACGGCATTACTGGCTTTAAGGAACAACCCGGACTGCCTATAAGTCGCTGCTTTTTGGCAGCCATCGAGATTTACAGATGAGTCAGGGCAGCATTTATTAAAATCGCTAGCAAAGATCTTCTGTCATTTGATGTACTGATCAATGACCGAACTCAGTTATTTTCTTTACGCAATTAGTTATGCACTTTGTCCTGAATCCACATTTTTATTCCCCACCCCGGGGGCAGGTGGGGGAAGAGACCTAAGACAAATTTCTTGAAAGGAATAATCTTTTCTGTCTGTTGTGAGGATAAAGCTGATAGCGGGATGATTTCCGTCACCAACAGCAGCTGCTCCCCCCCGATTCAATGAAAACACATTGATTGCCGTGTTCTACTGCAGTCATAAATAGGAATTATTGATGCATAAACAATAAAACTAAACAAATGAAAAAAGCATCTGGCCAGGCACCAGTTTAGTACTGTGAGGAAGAGCTGCTATTTTGGGTTTCAGGTTTAAAAGCCCAACCAGGAGTGCTTGGCTGGCTTGGTCGGTGGAGTGTGGGACTCTTGACCTGAGGGTTGTGAGTTCAAGCCCCACAGGGGGGGCATGGAGCCCACTTCAAAAGCAAATAAATAAATACAAATAAAGCTCCAGTCAGCCTCACAGTAAAAAATTTGGTATAGAAAATAGGCAATTATTCTACTTTCTGTGTTCTCTTAAAATATATAATAGGGGATACTTATATAGCAAAGGACTATTCCAAATACCATAAACAACAGAAGGGTAGGTTTTAATAATCTTTTCTAAAACTGTTAATCTAAAAATTTCTTTTAGAGATTTTATTTATTTGACAGAGAAAGAGAGGGAGAGAGAAAGCACAAGCAGGGGGAATGGGAGAGGGAGAAGCAAACTCCCCACTGAGCAGGGAGCCCAATGCGGGGCTTGATCCCAGGACCCTGGGATCATGACCTGAGCCGAAGGCAAACACTTAACCAACTAAGCCACCCAGGTGCCCCTAAAATCTAAAATTTTTAATGAAACTAAAAGACATATCTTCTGATCAGAACATTAATGTAGTATAAAATTGGTCAGCATATATAAAGACAGCTTTGAAATCATCCCACTACCCCGAAGTCTTTTTCAAGCATGTATATTTAAATCACTACTTGGTTGAAAAGGACTTTGTAACCAATAATCTGAATCTGCCTCCATTAAACCTGCTAATAAAACTGTTAAAAGGACCAGAAGCTTATAATCTCCACCTTAAAACTTCAATTAGAATCTTTTTTTTTTTTTCAGTGCAGCCCCTATGATCAGCATGGGGCCTGAACTCACTGAGATCAGGAGTCACATGCTCCACTGGCTGAGCCAGCCAGTTGCCCATACAATCTATCTTTAAAGGAAAATTTGCCTAGTCAGAGCTGATTAATAATGGTGTTAGTAGGTAAAGAGGGCAGAGTGTGGTGTTTGGACTGCTGTTCTGGAAGTTAGGACTGTTGGGTTGAATTCATGTCTTCAAATAGGTTTCTGTTTCCTGCTTAATTTCATCATCTGCTCATGACCAGATGATTTATCACAATATTACAAGGGGGAAGGCTGGGACCAGATGATGACACATGTCCTAGTGTTTACTAGGAAGAAATTAGTAGCACAGAATATGGCCACTGACCCTCTTGCTCTGGGAACAGGGAAACAAACTGACCAGATAGGTCAATATGGAAAGCCATCTGTGTCTGCTTCAGCAGTAGGTTAGGGCTTAAGCCAAAGTTCTAGTACCATCCTATCCCCCCCAACCTATATGACATCCGGAGAGCTGTTAGAGTAATACTTTCCACTAGTCATTTTAATATTTTTAAGTTGTTTTTAAAGATTTTTATTTATTTGGGGTGCCTGGGTGGCTCAGTGGGTTAAGCCGCTGCCTTCAGCTCAGGTCATGATCTCAGAGTCCTGGGATCGAGTCCCGCGTCAGGCTCTCTGCTCAGCGGGGAGCCTGTTTCCCTCTCTCTGCCTGCCTCTCTGCCTACTTGTGATCTCTCTCTCTGTCAAATAAATAAATAAAAATAAAAATCTTTTTTAAAAAAAGATTTTTATTTATTTGACAGAGAGAAATTGAGTACAAACAGAGGGGGAGCAGCAGAGAGAAGCAGGCTCCTTGCTGAGCAGGGAGCCTGATGCTGGCCTCCGTCCTGGGACCCTGGGATAATGACCTGAGACGAAGGCAGCTGCTTAACTGAGCCACTCACTAGTCACTTTTAAAATAAAGGAAATGTGCTATCTGGGTATTTTGTCATTATGTCCTAATATCCACACACAATTAATAGCAAGTGTCTCCCATGGTGCCCTGTGTTGAGGCTTCTGGTCTTAATCTAATGACTGCTTTAATCTGATCACTTTGTGTCAGAGGGCTTATGTGAAATTTCTTCTGTCTGCTTCTTCCTCCTGTGCCCATCCTAGAAAGCAGAAGAAGTTGTGCTGAGTTTTTCACCCTCTAGGATACTTGCTGTCATTATCACTAGACATCGGATATATCACAACTTCTAACTAAGTCCTTCAAACCATTAGGTTTGGACTCTTTCAACTCAAGTGTCATTTATAAATTCTATGAACTCCAGTGGGAATTAGATAAAACATAAATATACTAAAAGCTAAATCAGAGCTGAACAATCTGCAATTTTAAAAATTATGGCTTACTGCTATTTTGTTTCTAAAATGCAAATCTTAACCAAGTTGTATTCCACTCTTGGATCAGAGATACTTGGAACTGAAAATCAACTTGCTGAGCTTAATTTTGCAGCTTGAAACCTATGACATTCAGCAGATTTAGGAAATGCAAATTTATAGACAAGTTTTCTTTATTAATGACTCCTAATAGGGCCTATAATGAAGATAAAAACTTTTAGCAACTAATTACCTATTTAATTGCTATATAAATAGGATAATTCTTGAATTTCTAGTCATCTTCCCTGTTAAACCTTAATGTCAGAATAAATTGTCGTAGGAAGTAGAAAGTTCATTTCCTTATATGTAGATATAATTCATATTAGCTGCAAGCACTTTTTCCTCTTATTCAAAGACTAAACTCCCCGGCTTTTTGTAGAAATATGAAAATACCCCTGCACTAAGCAGTTAATAAAAGGGGATTCTTATATTCGTGGCTTGAGTATGTACTGTCCTGAAGATTACTCTTAGAAGTCAGGTTTGAGGCATGCCTGGCTGGCTCAGTCACAAGAGCATGTGATTCTTGATTGCAGGGTTGTGAGTTCGAGCCCCACATGGGGTATAGAGATTACTTAAATAAATAAAACCTTAAAAAAAGAGTCAGGTTTAAATCTAGGTAATTCCTTCAACCTTTCTGATTCTCCCGTAACAATTTGCTTCAAAAGATGGAGTGGTCTTCTAAAGTAAGTAACATCGGGGCACCTGGGTGGCTCAGTTGGTTAAGCATCTGCCTTCAGCTCAGGTCACAGTCCCAGGGTCCTGGGATTGAGCCCCACATAGAGTCCCACGTTGGGCTCCCTGCTGAGCAGGGAGCCTGCTTCTCTCCCTCTCCCTCTCCCACCCTCATGCTCTCGCTCTCTCAATAAAATCTTTTTAAAAAATAAAATTTAAAAAATAAAGTAAGTAACATCACTGAAGAATCAAGCTTTCTTAATATAATCAACTAAATCATTACTGTAACGCCTCTAAGTTAGATCAACTATCCTTGTCCTGTGACAGTGGACATCTCCACATAGAATTAGAGGGAGGAGGGAATAAACCAGCAATCAAGGGATTTGTACACTTGCCTTGTCTTCTTTGTGTCCCCAGGTATGATTTCTGGCACAGGGACCAGCCGCCGTGTCTGGATGTGGATCCCTGCCTTCTTCCCTGTGTCTTCCTTCCCTTAACTGTGAAACTAAAGGGGCGGTGAATTCATGAATTCCGAGCCATGGCTTGTCTTTCTCCCTGTCATAATTGTTGCGTCAAGGCCTCTGCGATGTTCTCCTAAGCCAGTGGGTCGTGGGCAGACCTTGCTTTTGAGAACTCTGAGAACCACCCTTGTGGCAGCTCTGTCATCCTTGCACCCCTCAAATAACATACAGCACGGCCGCTCCTCTCTGCCTCCCTCAGGACAGGCATAATAAAACATCCAAATAATCATAAGCATCGCGTGAAAAATTTCTTTTAAAAGCTATCTGCCATTTCAGAGATGTAAAACTGCACCATGGTGAAAAGTTTAGTCTTGCACATTGGGGCTTCAGAACTCTGCCTCCGAGTCTAGCTGCATGGTTTAGATTTTTAAATGATAACCTTTTTTTTTTTTTATCCCCAGCTCTTGTGGTAGCTGTTCTGCGCTTCATACAACTGAAACCCAAGGTTTTAAATCCATGGCTGAATATTAGTGGATTGGTGGCGCTGTGCCTGGCTTCCTTTGGAATGACCTTACTTGGTAATTTTCAGGTACTTCATTTGGCCTTTTTCACCACCTTCTCCCTCTTCACCTAGAGGATGGTCATAGCCACTGATTCTGCATGAATCTTTTCAATAACGCTAATCGTGCTTCCTAATAAGCACAGATCCTCCAGCAGTCAGTCCTTCTGGTCTTGGCCCCTGTGTGCCTGTGTTCACGCCACACGTGTGAGGGTGCTCCCTCTGCATTGGGAGGACAGCACAGCTCCGGGGAGAAGTAGCCTCTGCAATCGCTGTGTATCTTCCACAAAGGATTTCAAAGTGCTTTACTCTTTTTCTCAGAACAAACTGTCTCGTAATGGAACTTTCTAGAAAATAGGATCGTGGCCTTTCTAAAATTAAACACTGAACATCCTTTTTGGATGAAAGCTCACATTTCATATGAGCAAGCTCACGTGGGACTCAAGTTTGAAAACCAGAATTTCTCTAGAACACGTAAGACTTGTATAAAGATCTCCTAGCGCTAACTCTTCTTCCCAGACATTTAGAAGCCCAAGGTCACAACATTTAGTAATAAGTTCCCTAGGGGCGCCTGGATGGCTCAGTTGGTTGAGTATCTGGCTCTTGATCTCCGCTCAGGTGTTGATCTCAGGGTCATGAATTCAAGCCCTGTGCAGGGCTCCACACTGGACATAGAGCTTACTTAAAAAAAAAAAAAAAAAAATCCCTTGCTAATATCATCATTTGCCTCTTGACTCGAACGACTCCATCTGTAAGACAGACGAGGAGCCCCCCTGCACTGGAACAGTTCCCCTGGCTCCGTTCTCTTCACACTGTCCTCCAACCTGTGTTTTATAACCTAGTGAGAAACTTCGTCCATCCTCACACCTCTCCCTGTCTGTGGGGTAAAATCCAAATGGCACAGGCATTCAAAAAAATATGGTAGTGGATTTTCTAAGACTGTCTCTTGTTCCACCCCTCAGTCCTGATAATCCATTATATCAGGATAACTCGTTCCCCAGCATTCCACCTGAAACAGAGAGGCAGTGGAATAATGAGTTTTGAATCAATGGGTCGTTTGACAGGCAATCCCACTCATTGTTCTACTACTCTAGGCCCCATCCCATATCAAGCCAGACTTGAGTGGCTGTGCCGGTCTGTGCTGCAGGGACTAGCATGTTGTCCAATGCTCACTACCAATTCTCTCAACCAGGGCCTGGATGGAAGTTACTGAGGGGACTTTTCGGTCTTTCCTTAAGTCCAGAGATTGGGTTGTTTTGGTGAACCACAAATACTCAAAACCATGAGTGATCACATGACATATAAAGAACACTTTCTAGAAGATGTACAGAGAACACACAATAAACAACACCTTAGTTGCCTGTGAGGAAACCAAGTGGCTAGCATATGGGATGGGAGACAGACTTTTCCATCTGTACTCCATCATTTTTTAAAGTTTGAACCATGTAATTATATAATCTATTTTTTAAATTAAGTTTAAGATAATAAATGAATAGACTGTGTATAGCATGGAAAACCAATTTCCTAAAAATAAAATTTAATTTGAGGAATTGTTATTTAAAGTAAGATCTGGAGCACCTGGGTGGCTCAGTCAGTTAAGCGTCTGCCTTTGGCTTGGTCATGGTCCCAGGGTCCTGGGATCAAGCCCCACATCGGGCTCCCTGCTCAGTGGGGAGCCTGCTTCTCCCTTTCACACTCCCCTTGTGTTTCCTCTCTCACTGTCTCTGTCAAATAAAAAATAACACATTAAAAAAAATATATATATATATATATATATATATATATATATATGTATATATATATATATATATATATAATTGCTAAAGATGTTTTAAGGGGGCAGTGTATATATATATATATATATATTTTTTTTAAAGATTATTTTATTTATTTATTTATTTATTTGAGAAATAGAGCACAAGCCAGGGCGGGGGAGACAGAGAAGCAGGCTCCCCGCTGAGCAGTGGGCACCATGCGGGGCTCGATCCCAGGACCCTGAGATGATGACCCGAGCAGAAGACAGAGGCTCAACTGACTGAGCACCCCAGGCGCCCCAAGACCACTGCACTTAAGCAAAAGGGGCCCGTGTACTTTCCGACATCCGTAGGCGATGATCTGGAGTTCGCGTCTGTGACGCTCAAAATGGAATCGCGAGGACGGGTGTCCTTCAGCCCGTTCACTGCGTGAAAGGGAGAGTTCGGACACGAATGTCCGCTGGCGGGTCTGCGAATGCGGAGAGCTCTTGGGTGGCAGCTCTCTCATAAGAGGAACACTCCGCAGCGCCCCGCACCCCGCCCTGCCCACCGCAGCCAGGCATGTTCCGTCCGTAGCGACGCGGTGGTCCAGGCGTCGCCCCATGTGGAGGACGCCCGGGGCGTGCGTCCGCAGACCCCAACGGCCCTGTCGCGGCTGTCACGGCTCCTCCTGCGCCTGCGCACGCGTGCGGGAAACGGACTCCCGCGCCGCACGCGTGCTCCGAGGCCTGGGGCGGCCCGTCTGCCTTCTGCCCTCCGAGTTCAGGCCCGAGAATACACGCCAAGAACCGGCGACGACGAAGGCCCGCCCAGTCCTCCCTGGGCGGACCCATCCCTGCACGTCTCCCCCTCACGCGCCCCCTCTGCCCGCCCCCAGCTCACCAACGACGAGGAGATCCACAATGTCGGCACGTCCCTGACCTTCGGCTTCGGCACGCTGACCTGCTGGATCCAGGCCGCCCTGACGCTCAGGGTGAACATCAAGAACGAAGGGCGGAGAGTGGGCGTCCCGCGCGTGGTGCTCGCCGCCTCCGTCACCCTCTGCGTGGTCCTCTGTATCCTTTCAGTGCGGGGAGAGGCCGGGCGGACCGTCTGCGTGTGACCGACGCCGACCCTGAGGGCGAGGAGGACGAAAGCGCGCGGCCGCGTTCCTCACCCAGAGAGGACGCGGGGAAGCGCGCGTGACGCGGGCTCCGCCGCCTCCAGATCCTGTCTGTGGGGACGGCGTCCCCGTGACGGAGGGCACCGGATGCGCAGCGAGATGGCGGCGGTTTTCCCTTCTCTCTTAAAACAAGGTTAATTCGCGACTTGATTAAGGCCGCGGTTATTTCGTGTCACTTAACTGGCAAAGGAGAACGCGGCCAGCCTCTCGCGTCGCACCCTGGGACCCTCCCACACAGTCAGCGGCGGGCTGGGAAACCGCGAGAAACCCCGCCCAAGTCGAGACCAGTCCAGCGCGGGGGGCGGGGGGGGCGGTGACCCCACCTCCCGGTGGCGTGGCCCAATAGAAGCCGGCCAGTGCCAGTGCGGCCAATCAGATCAGCCACTCGCTCCGAGCGCTTGTCAGTGTTCACTCCAACAGGGCCTCCCCGGCCACCCGACAGGAAGCGAACAGGGTTCCTAGCTGGTGGGAGGGGGAGCTAAGCGGAGGAGGTCCTGCACGTGGTCGGCGACGCTGATTAAGCAGCACGTGCCGGCGCCACTGAAGCCCTTTCCGAGGCTCCGCTCTTAATCCTCGTGTGACAGCAGTAGGCACAGGCCACGCGCCGTACGCCGGGATCGCAGCTCCAGCTCAGGCACGGCTGGAGCTCTCGCCGCACCCTGTCGCGTGGGGGACACGGGTGGTGGCTCGGAGACGCCGGCAGGTACCGCAGCTCGGGGCCTTCGCTTCCTCTTTCCTCACGAATGGCCGCTTGCCCGGGTGTTCGAGGTTGTGTAGCACCTCAGAGGACAAGGCCGGTAAGAGTGCAGCCGGGAACGGTGCTTTGGCGGCCGCGTGACGAGGTATTCCGTGAGTGACAGGTGAGACTGTGCTGCGGGCATGAGAGGCCCAGCCCTTCCCCCGCGGCTCCCGCAGCCCTGCGGGGCCGCGGTGCGGAGCCTCCCCGCCCCCCCAGGACCGGCGGAGGCTCGCGTCAGTTCGCATTTTCAGCGTCTACCAGCCCCGCCCCGTCGTTTCTGAGCGCTCGGAGCCCCGCTGGGTCCCCGGGGGGGTGGGGGGGGGTCCGGGCATTGTGCGAAGCCGCAGCAGCTGCACCGCCGCCTGCTCTCTGCAGACTACCAGGTGCCAGTGTAAGGCCTGCGGGCAGCGCTGACTCCGGGAGCTTCTGTGTTTCCTGACGAACGTACTTAGGGCCTGGCCCCTTGGCTCCGGATTGGAGCCTTGACGCCTCGTGTCCCCGCTGCCACCGCATGTTGCGGCGGCGCGGACGCTCCTCGGAGATCAGGTCGCGGAGCCTCAGTCGCTGTCCTGACGGGGAGCTGGACAGAAGGAAGACGCGCCACCTCCACGGTGTCAGGAGCTTCGGTGTCGGTCGCTAGTGATTTCGTGTGTTCGGGACGGTTTCTGTAGGTAGAACGATGACCGCGAATCCACGGCCACACGCACTGGTCTTTAAAAACATACATTTATTTTTCTGGCCTTTTTTTTTTTTTTTTTTTTTTTTTTTTTTTGAATTTTAATCCTCTGGCTAACCTCACAGATTATTAGGCGGCGGGAGAGCTGCCTGCTCGGCCTGGGAGTCGGAGCATTTGAATTCCAGCTCCACCGGTTAACACCTCTGTGACCGCAGGAAGGGTCCATTTGGGCTCAGTTTCCCCATTTTTAAATGAACCGGTAATAATAGGGTTGCTGTGAGGATTAAGTTAGATTTTTCATGCAAGCCCCTAGACACCTGTCCTGCACGAAGGCAGAGCTCGGTACTGTGAGTTCGAGTTATGCAGGTGGCGAGTTCAGCAAGCCGTCAAGCCGAGTTCTGAGGGAGGGAGAGCGAGACATTCTTGTCACTTGTCCCTGTCCAGAAAAGAGCCCAGTTTCGATGCGGCTGATGGGGGTCCTTTCCTTGACTGCTGCTCCCCAGATTTCATCCTCATGGCCCAAGGCATCCACATGTATGCGGCCCGGGTCCAGTGGGGACTGGTCATGTGCTTCCTGTCTTACTTTGGCACCTTTGCTGTGGAGTTCCGGCATTACCGCTACGAGATTGTGTGTTCTGAGTACCAGGAGAATTTCCTGAGCTTCTCCGAAAGCCTGTCCGAAGCTTCTGAGTATCAAACCGACCAGGTGTAACCCGTCAGCTTCTCCTTGCGGGTGAGGTGGGTGCGCTGGGGGGAGGAGCCGGAAGGACACACCCACGGGACTCGGTACAGAACCTCTTCACACATTTTCCACCCACACGTTCATGGCCACATCTGCCAAATGAGCTTTTCAGGGCAAGGTATGTCTTTAATGGAAAAGCACAAGCCCTTATGTGTCGAAATACATGCTGTTACACTGAAAATATATGCACGACAGAGCCAGAAGCCTGTGCATGATCACTTCTCCTTTCCCTCTCTCTCCCAGTTATCCCTGCTGTTCTCATTCTCTCACACGTTTCAGACTTCGTGATCTCCCTGCCACAGAGTAGGGCGGGCCAAATGTAACATGGGAATAATGCCAACTCCCAAAGTGGCCTTCAGATCCAAAGGGCTTGGACCCAGCTCATGAGGAGGTTCTGAATCTGGCGCTCAGACTCCTGAATGGACTGCGGATCATCTGACTGGATGGAAACTGCAGTGATGGGACCCCTGTAACCCATGGAAAGGTCTGGGGTCTGGAACTTAACTCCTTTCACCATGGTTCAGTGGTCGGCCATGTGGAGTCAAGGAGAGGAGTAGGCTACAAGCCCATCACCGTGATTTGGACTTTACTGTGACTGAGAACTATTTCCAAATGTGAATATTTGTAGGGGTGTGGTCTGCCAGGCATGGGACAAGATGGGGGCAGTGAGGGTGTGGTGTCGTTTTTGCTTCTGTCGTATGCTATGTACAGCTTTTGTTTCATAGTTCATAGTTTGCCTTCTTTTTTTCTTTAAGTAACTACTGTGGGTCTCTTGAGGCCCATGGACAAAGAAGATGTAGGCCAAGTGCAAGAGCTGAGCTTGTTTTGGGTTCAACCATGATAAAAGAAAAAAAAAAAAAAAGGTGACCTGCAGGCTTCATTTGCTGCTTTTTAAAAGGTTCAAAGCTAAGAAAATGTTCACAGAAAAGCACAAAGAAATATTTGTGGAGGTAATAAAAAGAGCTCCTGCTGGACATTTATAAAAGGAGTCTTAGAGTATCTTGTTACAAGTCCAGATCAAGGGAGAGCTTCTTAACATGTATCTGTAGCTCAAATTTAGTATTTGATTGCGGGGGGCGGGGGGAGGTGGCTTAAGGGCTTTTTCATACTTGGGATTTATAGAAACCAGCTAAACGATCACCCCTTCCCACCCAAAACCGGCACGGCTGATCCCCTGCTGCCCAACATACACTTTCCACCTGCACAGAGTTTAGAACGCAAACTGGAGACCTCGGCTTTTGGGGCCGTGCTTCATAAAGAACAGAATTCTAAGTTCAAAATGCCCTGCAGTGGGCCATGTTGACAGATGGTCCATGAATGCACTTTGTTTCAGAAAGTCCCCAAATGTACTTCCCAGGAGCCTGGGACCTCATGGAATGTAATGTGAAAAACGCTGTTTTTTTAATTCAACCCAGACTTGGACTCTTGAGGAAGGGGTTCATGACTTTTCATCTCTGTGTTTCTCTCTGCCTCCCAGCACAGTGCCTGGCACGTATGGGTGCTGAACAAATGTCTGTTCAATAGAATGACTGGTAGTTTAAGAGCAGGAGAAAGGAGTACCAGAGGAAGAGTCATAGATGAGCGAGCAGATGACTGTTTCAAGCAAGCAGGAATGGAAGAAATCCGAGAGTAGGAGCAGATGGGGATGAGAACCCCTACGAGGGATACGTGAAATGTGAGGAAAGAATCAAGAAGCCGAGAACATTCTGCTACAAAAGAGGCATCTTACTGTACATAGTCCAAGGTGACATTTATTATTTTTGAATACTGCTTTTGGGTTTGTTTTTTCATTTTTATATTTTAAGAAATTTTAATCAGAAAACAAAGACTTATGAAGTTTTCTTTTACTCTGCACAATCCAAATTAAACTGCTTTTGGTGATGCACTGTATACTTTCTTAAGTATATCTAAATAGCACATTTTAGCAGAATCAAGCAATGACTGGCATTATTCATTGGGATCTGACCACTAAATAAAATTCTTTTATGCAGAATTATGATTTGTCTCTTACACTAACATTTCTTCTGTAATATTGATGCATGTGTAAAGGCCATCAGACATTCTGCGGAACATACACTTCAGTGGGCGCCTGGATGCCTCAGTCAGTTAAGCCTCCGACTCTTGGTTTCCCCTCCGGTCATAATTTCTCAGGGTTGTGGGATGAGACCCTGCTGCAAGGCTCTGTGCTCAGCGGGGAATCTGCTGGAGGTTTTCTCTCTCTCTGCCTCTGAGCCTCCCCCTGCTGACACGTGCCAAAACAAAAAACCTAACCAGAAACAACCCAGAAGGGACGCCTGGGTGGCTCAGTTAAGCATCTGCCTTTGGCCCAGGTCATGATGCCAGGGTCCTGGGATCGAGCCCCCGTATCAGGCTCTCTGCTCAATCAGGAGCCTGCTTCTCCCTTTCCCTCTGCCCTCCCCACTGTCACGCTCTCTCGCTCTCTCTCAAATAAAATCTCTAAAAAATACCAGAAATTATACTAAAGTGTTATGGGGGTAGCATATCTATCTCTAGGGTGTTTTCCAACACCCACAGCCAATTCTATGATTCTCTGGACACCAACCCGATGTCCTACAATTTGGTTCGTTCTAACACTACCCAGAGTTATTGTCACTCCCATGAGACTGCCCTCTCTCACTTCAAATGCCAGTCCCACAGACTGGGTCCCAGGTTACCCACACTTCCAACATGACTATAAAATTGGCGGGGAAAGGGATGTCCCACAACTCCCTTCCCTTTTAAGTTAGATAATTTGCTAGAAAGGCTCCCAGACTCCAGAAAACACGTGTGCCTGCTTATTATAAAGGCTATAACTCAAGAACAACCAAAAGTAAGTGACAGGACAAGGAAGGGGAGAGGTGCGGGCATGCCATCCTCCCAATGTTCCCACGTGTTCACCAACCCAGAAGCTCTCTCAATCTCTCTGTGCAAGAGTTTATAGGGCTCAATTTCCAGCACCCTCCCCCACATCTGCTTCTGGAGGTTGGTCAAGAGGTCTAATCCCTTAGTCTTCTGGTGACCTGAGCCTATCTGGGGGCCCTTCCCTAAGTGACCTCATTAGCATAAGATTGGGCTTATGATGAGTAACACAAGTCACTCCTGTCACTCAGGAAATTTCTAGAGTTTTAGCAGCTCATGGCAGAAACCCTAGGACAAAGACCAAATACATTTTTGTAGTAGGCCACACATAAATCAAGATCAAGATTACAGTACTTCCTAGGAGTTAAGAACCACAGGAAGCTTCTCGGAGGCCAAAACCAAGGACTCTGTGTTTGGAATGAGCACGCCTGAAGGATCTGATGTGGGTGGCCCAGAGAACAAAGCTTGTAATAAACTAAACTTCATTTCTGTAGTCCAACTAGATCTCTTGAAGAAAAGTTCTCCTCCTAGTTGGGAGAGAGATGTTTCTAGAACAATGTAGACATTTCATAGTTTCCATCGTTCTTTATTGAATGGAGACCTGACTGGGAGGTGAAGTTTTACCACCTGTTTCTGGGTATTCTTTGCCCCTGGTGTGGGAAACTGAAACTTTCATATGCTAGACTTGGTCTTCTGCTGGTTATAATGGAGAATGATGAAGTCTAGAATCTGGTGAGGTTCAGTGGGGTGAGGTCCTGAGCCGATGACCAAAAAAGAATTCTTGAGACAGCTCTGGTGCAAAATGGTGGTTTCTTAAAGCACGGGGACAGGACCCGTGGGCAGGAAGAGCTGCTGCCCTGCTATCCTGAGGAGTGGCTGATTATATACTCAGGAGTTGGATAGGTGAGGACAAAGGGGGTGTTCAGAAGGGCTGTCACGGTAAAGAACACTGTCAGGATACTGGAGGCCTGGTTATTGTCAAGCCAAGGTTGTTGTTCCCTCTAATGAGGCACTAACATGAAGACAGTTGGGAGTTTCCTAGTGGAATGTCATGTTCCTCCTATCACACATCCTTGTCAATGAGCTTTAGGTTTAGAAGAAATTTAACTTTATTTACATTTCCTTCCCCTCAGCCTCCTTCAGTTTTATGGAGGGGAGGGTGATGTTAGGGCTTTAGGACCTGAGTTGCTTGCCTCTGGAAGTTGGGCTATTGATAAGGACATTTGTAAACCAGGGAGACTCCTGTCTTACAGGATTATGATCTCTACAAGTTAACTATTTGTTTTCCTTTTAGGGCAGCCAGGAGTGCCTGAGGAATGTCACACATGTCACCGAGGTGGGGGGGGAGAGGTGGTGTAAGGTGCCAGCCTTAGCTTTGTCCTCAGCCAGCCTTCTGCTCCCTCACCAGAGAATGGAACATCAGTTCATTTTTGCTTAGCACTGTGTCCATCAGGGTATGCTGGGTTTTGCTGTCCCAAAACAAAAGGAATAAAACTTTAGTTCACTTTTCACACGAGGTGTGTATCCAGGGGTTGGCAAGGGGGCCGCGCTCGGTGCTATGACTCGGACCCTGGCTGACAGAGGCTTCATCTCCACACATGCTTCTGCCACCGTCGCCGACAACCAAGAACACATAGACCGCTCAGTGGTTCTTGACAGCTCTGCTAGGAAGTAACAAACATCATGTAGCTTGCATTTCATTGGGCAGGACACATTGCACAGTCTTATCTGAGAGCCACGCTCCCACTGTGTGCCCAGAAGGGAGGAACATTTCTGTGAACAGCCTATGACTATCCGGGTTCACATGAAGTTTTTAAGACTTCTTTGGTCACTGTCATTCCTTTGAAGCGGAGTAATGAAGAATTCGTGAAGAATTATCATCCTACAGAACCGGGAAAGGTGCGATCTGTGGAGCTGACACAGCCAATCACAAATGTGAAGCACCACGCAAACAACAAATGAGAGAAATGCAGTTCCTTGGAGCATCTTGACCAAATCTCCAGTTGTTTCCCCAAAGCCAGGGGATCAACAGCTGGGGGAAGAGAGGCATTCTGCATATGAAAGAAGCTGGATTTCACAATCCTCACTTCCTGGCAGTTCAGATTCCCCGTTGTGAGGGCTCCAACAAACAGCAAATACCCAAACCACAAGTCCGAAGTGGGGAGTGTGCCTGACAAGCAAAAAGGAAACTGGAAAAGCAAAGATCTTTTCATCAGGATAAAATATGCTTTTATTTCTCCTATCTCTAAAAAAAAAAGTGTCCCCAGGCACCTGGCTGCTGTCTCAATCGGTAGAGCATGTGACTCTTGAACTCAGGGTCATGAGTTCAAGCCCCATGGTGGATATAGAGATTACTTTAAAAAGATTTAAAGAACGTCCCTATTTGCTGAATCCAGTCCCTCTATCCCAATTCTCTCTTGAACCCAGTCCAATCATTGGAGCTCTCACTCCTGCCACTTTGTGGAACTGCTTCCCTCATTCTCCAGAGACGTGATGTTGCATACAATGGTTGGTTGGTTCTTTTGCAACCTTATCTAGACCCATAAGCACTACTTCCCAATTTGATCAATCCCTCCCCCTTCTCTGCTTGAAATAATGTCTTTACTTGGCTTCCAGAGATCATTCCCGCTTCATTTGCTTCCCGCTTCACTGTCCATGCCTCTGCCTCCTTTGCTGGGCCTTCTCCCTGACACCTTCACATTGGAGTGTCCCACGCCTCAGTCCTTGGAACTCTTCCCTTCCTATCTACATCCACTCTGCTGGTCACTGCATCCAGTCCTTTTGTTTTAAAGGCTGCCATATGCAGACCTCTCCCAATTCACCAGGCTCAGACTTCTGGATATCCAACGAACTTATGACATCTCCACTTGTCATCTCAAGTTCAGTAAGTCCTAATCTTTAAACTCATTCCTCCCAGAGTCTTCCCATCTAACTTAAGGACAACTCATCTTTCAGTTGCTCAGACTGAAACCTTAAAGTGATCTTAAA